TATACTTTATACTCGTTTCATGGATTAGATAAATAGCTAAAAATTTGCTAAAACTTGAATACACATACGTTTAGTATTTAATATATATATGTGTGCTATGGGCATGGCTAAAAAGTATATAGATGTATATATGTACGTATATTTAGAAAATAGTTATTTATATGTATATGTATATATATTTATCTGGTTTAATACTTGGGGATAGGGGAACTCTAATATCTATATATAGTGGATTATACAATGAGCAAACAAATTACTAACTGTTCATATTGACTATATCCATATATGTATGTATATCTACAGATATATGCTTTATACATACGAATTTTGTACAGCTTATGGAACTAAGTCTTTGGTCTAGCATTGTCTTTTTTCGATTTTCCAAATTAGACAAACTACGCTCGATTTATGACAACTACCACTGGAAACATTTCGAATCATCATTTGTCATTCGCCCCGCCAATCAGCCAATCAGCCGTAAATGACAAATTTAGATTTGGTAATTGGCATGCGGGGCCAATGGCAAAGCTGTTCCGTGGATTGCATCTAAAATTTAGGAATGGGTTACCATGGATTCTATATGTGTTTCGTTTTTACATCTAATTAGACTACAGTTTGTTTTCATTTCTTTTGCATTTCTTGTTCTTAACTTGCGAGAGCTTTACGATATCATTATAGATTTCTACACGCTGCTAACATAACATTCTCATATTCTCGAAGGGTTTCTTTTGATTCTACATAAATTGCTCTTGGATTCGCATTTGCGCTTTCTGCTTTGGATTGGCTCTGCGACAGTCAATAGATTGTTAATTGTTCAGTTATTTTATTTGTATTATATATATTAAAACGTTACTTGAGAAGAATTTGGCTGATATGAAACAAAACGATTGCCACAGTGGAGTTTTATTTTCCTATTCGGTTTTGCAGCACAATCTATTGACCGACAGAGGGCGCTAGCCAGTCAGGCTGGTGCTAGCGTGCAACGAAACTATTGGCCGACAGGTGGCGCGCTTTACACCTGTGTGCCGTAATACTAGAGAGAGACAAACTCGCCAGCCCCCTCGCCGGCACCAGCACCAGTATTGCCCTTCTCCATGCCCGGCGCCGGCTCCGTCGTTTGCAGCTGATGATGATGATGCTGATGCTGCAGCTGATGCTGATGATCCTGGGCCGTGGTCTCCGCCTCTGTCATGTTGCCATCGGCCGTCGTTTCGCTGAACAGCGTCTCGTTCTCGTCTGGCAGCGACAGCGTCGAGTTGCCCAGTCCGCCGCTGGCCGTGATGCGGCGTCCCATATTATCGTATTTGGGATAGGCGGAGCTGTCACGCAACGGAGTCGCCTCCACAATGGGCGGGGTGCTGCAGGCGGATGTGGGCGCATTGTTGATACAGCTCGCGCAATTCGCTGCGGACATGGTTGGCGCTGCCGCTGCCGCTGCCGTTGCCGTTGGATGGTGGCACTGGACCACGGCGGTGACAGCCGGCGGCGGCGGCGGTGGTGGCAGCGGCAGCTCCATGTCACCATTGCCCCCACCGCCACAATGATAGCCGCCCGCCTCCAGATTGTACGTAACGATCTCGTCATGGGGATAGAGATTTGTGGCAGCTGTTCCGGCTGCTGCAGCAGCAGCCGCCCCCGGCTGCAGTGAGGAGTCCTTCTTCAGTATGCCGCGGCGGGCCGTGTGCCGCGGCAGCGTGGCGAATTGGGCCACAGTTTGGCCATCGCCGGTGGTGCTGCTGCTGCTGCCCGCACCGCTGCCATCCGCCGAGCACTGGACGTCCTGCAGACGCTTGGGTATGTTGAGCAGATCTGGATACATGTTGATGTCGGCGCCATCGAGCATATCCTGGGTGACCGAGACGCGTATGAATATGTTGCCAAAGGTGGGATTCGGCACAATATTGGAGCAGAACTCCGGCGGCGGTGGGAAGACGCCCACATTCAGTGGAAACTCCTCCGACAGCTGGCCATGGCCGTGCGAATGGGAATGCGAGTGCAGCTGATGCGGATGCTGATGCTGATGTTGATGCTGATGCTGATAGCCGGCCATTGAGGTGGGCACACTGATCAGTCCGCAGGTGGGATCCTTGACGGTCATCAGCTGCTGCCGAATATGCTGACCAGCCTGACCCTGCTGCTGGTGCTGCTGCTGTTGCTGGTGCTGCTGTTGCTGCTGTTGCTGCTGCTGTTGCTGGCTCAAGCCCGTGCGATGCGCCTCCACGGCATGGATCTCGATCTGATTGAAGCCGAGCGTGGAGTCCGTCTTGTTGATCGAGCTGGGATTGTTGTCAATGCCATAGCTGTCGCCGCGGTCATTGGTGGTCGTCGTCACACTCGAGTCCAGCAGCTTCTTCTCCTGATCATTGAAGCTGACACTCGACTTGACGCCCGCCTTGTTGGCATGCCGATGCTGGCGCGTGGTGCGCTTGCACAGGCAGACCACGAACGAGATGGCAATGAGCAGGAAGACGGTGCCGAAGATGCCCATGATGAGCCCGAAGTACCAGAAGGTCTCCGGCGTCTTCACCAGCACATGCTGGACAATCTCGCTCAGATAGATGCTAATGTTCTGGGTCATCGATCCGATCAGATTGGTGCCCGTGCAGGCGTAGGTGCCCGCATCCAGGCTGCTCACATTGAAGACGGTCAGATTGCTCCACAGCTTGTCGGACGTGATGCTCTCCGTGTCGAAGAGCACGTTGTCGTTGTCCAGGATTTTGCCATTCAGCTCCCAGCTGACCTCGGGCAGTGGATCGCCGTAGACCAGGCAGCTGAATGTCGTATTGCTGCCAATGTCGATGTTCGTTGCCTCCTCATTGTTGAAGATCTCCACGCGGGGCGGGCAGCCAAAGAGCTCATCGTCGACACTGTCCCAGGTGCGATCCTTCTGCGCCGGCGGCCCCTTGCACACCAGGCTCACGGAGCTCAGCCGGCTGCCCACATACCAGTTGCGAAACTTACGCAGCTTGCAATTGCACTGCCAGGGGTTCTCCTCCAGGGAGAGGGTCTTCAAATTGCCCATGTGCTGGAACACGTACTCGCTGAGGCTCTCCAGCAGATTGTTCTTCAGATTGAGAAACTCCAACAAATTGAGATTTGCCAGCGACATGGGATCTATGTACGAGATTAGGCAGTCGTGCATGTCCAGGGTGCGCAGATGCGGCAATATGGGAAACTGATAGGCGGAGAGCCGCTTGAGGGGATTCCCGTTCAAGTAGAGTATGCGCAGTCTATCGTTGCCCATAAACGTGTCCTTGTCGATCATCTCCAGCTTATTGTCCGACAGATCAATCTCCACGAGTATCTTCAAGTTGCGAAAACTCTCCTTGTGTATGTATTGGACCTCGGATTTCTTCAGATAGATGCGCTGTAGGTTGAGCAGACCCAGCGCAGAGAACTCCTCCCGATTCAGATATGGTATGTGATTATCATTGAGCACCAGCACCTGCAGCTCAGTGCTCAGCGTGTTCGGTATGCTCGTCAGCTGCAGCGAGCTGCATATGGCTGACTTTTTGCCATTTGTCCATTTGCAGGTGCAGTTCGAGGCGCAACTCTGTGACCAGTCATCCGCCCACACCCAGCCGACCAGGCAGCTGAGGCACAGGAGCCAAAGCAGCTGCTGCCATCCTGCAAATGAAAAAAGTGTGTGATGAGAGAGAGAGACAGAGAGAGAGAAAGAGAGAGAGAGAGAGAGAGAGAGAGAGAGAGAGAGAGAGAGAAAGAACACAAAGATTAAGTTAAAGCCAAATAAATACAGAAAAGAAATAATTTATTTACATTGACTAGGCGAAGAATGAATACACTGCTTTCAATATGATATTGTAAATATATGGAAAATGTGCCTGAGAGTACACCTTATTAATGCCTAACTTCTAAGATAAGCAATTGAATATCTTAAAATTTATTCCTGTGCCAGCCAATCTATTCACTCTAATATGATTTAAGATTAAATAACCGTTAAGACATGTTGCTCACATATTATATTATATTTGACTTTGCTGTGACTTTGCCAAAGTATAAAGATAAACTTGCTGCTCTAATGCTGCGAAACTATGGCTTAAATTCCGAGACCTTTGATTTATTTACGAAATCAACCAATTTATATTAGCTACAGCTATAAGGACATTGGCATGACTAGAGACAGGCGGAAAACTTTTATCCAATAATGTTAAATATATACATATGTTTATTACATTTATAAACATGTATATTTGTATAGCATTACTGGATATGTAGGTCGAATAAATAAAACCACAAACATCTTGTAAATGCAATATTCATACTTTTAAGAGAGGAGCCAATTGTCAATTATCGCAAATTCAAACTTCATTATCATTATATACAAATATAATTATTTGATACCTATATAATAATATACATTTATAAGTGTATATATCTTCCATTGGTAACACAACTCACGACAAAATTATAATACTCTCCCTCTCTCTTTCTCTCCTTCTATTCTTCTCTCTTTCTCTCTGTCTTTCTGTTCCACTTGCTTCCATTGAACAAAAAATCCAATGATTGACGACCTTTGGTTCAAGCTTTTGTTTTATGTGCCACTTACCTGGCAGCCGGATGCTGCTGCTGATGCTGCTTCCTCTGCTTCTGCCTCTGCTACTCTCTCTGCTGCTGCTGCTGCTACTGCCGCTGCTTTTGGTTCTCCATTTCGCTGCCATGCTGTGCATTTGTCCCGCTGCGTATTTGTCGCTGCGTCTGACCCTCTGCCCGCTGGACTTGGACCTGGACCTGGACCCCAGTCTCGGTCGCGACCTCGCCAATTGATGACTCTAAATGGCTTTGGCTGATTCGATTGCCATGTTTCACATCATGTTGCCGTCGCTGGCGAAAGGGGGCTCCATTACATATTACTCGGCACTTTGGCCACTTTTCTGGCACACTGAAGGCAAATTTTTGCCTCTGCACTCGACTGCGACAGTTTCTTATCGAATTTAGTTTTTTTTGCTCGTTTTTTTCTCTTTTTTTTTGTTGTTTTTATTGAGCTCTCTTTGTCGCTTCACTACACACGCACCACCTCACTCGCTCACTCTCGCTCACTCTAGATGTATATATCTGTCTCTTGATGTCTCCCTTTAGTTAGGTTCAGTGCGTTCCAGCAAATGTTGACCAGCTAAAAGAAGTAAAAGAAAGTAAAACTAAGAGTTCATATTTGTAGTGTGAATAAGTTTTGCAATTGAATAAATATAATGGCAAAAGCAAATTTAAAGTTTGAGTCTTAACTTAAGGAATATCTCTAATATTATTGATTGTTAAAGGAAAGTATCGAAAGGAAATATATTATTATTAACGAATCATAATGATTCCCCCAAATAAATTATCTCAAAAGAGATAATAAAAGAGTAGAAGAAGACATTTTACTATTGGTAGGAATTATTTTGCTATGGCTCAACTAATTTTCAATTTTCTTATTATCATTATTACCATACTTATTATTATCACCATCATAACTGTTTCAATTCCAAGAATTATGTCTGCAAGCATAAGTCTAGCCTTGACTATTTCGACCTTCGACTACAGCAATACAACACTCTCGCACCCGACTGGGACTCAAACTCTGAATTCCCTAGATATCCGGGCTGCCCTTGACTCTGGCGCTGTCTTACAGCATTTGAGGTTTGAGCTTGATTTGACTACAATAATCTCAGTATCGTTTCTTTAGCTCTTACATTAAAATGAAGTACAGAATCTTCTTTCTATCGCATTCAACATTTTCCCAACCCTCGCACGCCAACAAAAACCTTCGATAGAGGAGAGAGGACTGCAGAAAAAACGTCATTTGCAGCTGAGTGCGGCATTCGGATTAGTTTTCAATGCTGGCCCGGCACAAAGCTGATTCAGATGCTTCCGTTTAAACTTTTTAAAGAATGCGAGTCCGTTCAAAAAGGGGGAAAAGGGGGTGGATTACAAGAAAAGAGAGAATCAAAATGGACTTTACTTAGAGCATCATTTTCAGGAACAATGCGCATTGTGTTGTTGTTATTGTTGTTGTTGTTGTTGATTGTAATTGTAGTTGGCTCATTGGTAATCTCAATTTACCGAAGCTCGGCCAGTAAATGGAAATGCCAAACAATGGGCCAATGGCATCGGCCTTTAGCCAAAGCTTTAAAATGGCCTATCAACAACAATTTGTAGTTCGTTGTTCACGTTAAGAATGGTGGGAGGCTCGAGCTGTTTGCTGGGTATATCACAGAGCAACAATGCGGCGCAACAGCTCTGAGCCACACTCTGCCCCCCACACTGCGCCGCTGGCCACTCGACATCTTCACAAAATCAGCATCAAAAGCCTGTCGAATGGTTTTTCTTTCTTTTTTATATTTTTTCTCTTTTAGGTTTTTTTTTTTTTTGTTTTCTCTTCAAAGAGACGCAGCAGCAGCTTGAAAATGAGGCACAAGTAAAATTTGCCTCATGCTGCAGCAGCAGCAGGCAAATGCTGCAAAAACTGCTGAATTACCCACCTACATTCAGACACACACAAACACACACACACACACACACATACAATGAAAACGAAAAATGCTCTGAAGGTTCATTTGTCAATTTGCCATTTGAATTTGTATTTGAGAAATTCACTTGGCCGCTTTTGCGCTTTGTTCTGGCCCCAGCCTCAGCCTCAGCCTCATCGTGAGCCTCAGCCTCTCATTCATGGCGCATCTCTCTCTCTCTCTCTCGCCATCTCTCTCTGACTTGGCTAAGATGCTTTGGCAATGCGGATAATATTTCCTGTGCCAGTGCAGCAGTTGGCAGCGCGATTGCAGCGGTAGCACCCCTCACCCCTCAGCCAGCACTGCTGCCGCCGCCGCCACCGCCTCTGCTCTGCCAATTCAAACTGATTTTTTGCCCGCTGCCTTTTGTGGCTGCCACATGCCACACTGTCTGTCTATCTGTCTGTCTGTTTGTGTTTGTGTGTGTGTGTGTGTGCCTTACAATCGTCGACAGTTTTATTTGTGCAGCTTTATGAGCACACATACACACACACACACACACACATGCACACAAGCACACTTGAAGAGATCCGCAACGGCAGACACTCGACTCGACTCGATTCGACTCTTTGATATATTCATAAATGTAGCACAGTGGGCCGCAAAAGCCAAAAAGCTAATTCAATGGCCAATTGCCAAAAATATAACAAAATAAAAAAGAAGAAGAGGAAACAAACTGCAGAATATTAAAAAAATATTATGATAGCATCTCAGTGGATATGCGGAAAGACTGCTGCAGCCGCAACTCATAAAGCAAATCAATTAACTGATACAGATCAATTATAGCAAACTTACGCTCCATAAGCATGTGCAATCGAATATGCCAAGTGCAGGCATCGACGTTTAGTTGCAGAGCTGTTGAAATTCTAAGCTAAAATCACTTTACGCTCGGCATTTGGCAGTTGGCAGTTGACCTGGCTCAGTTGGGCCAGTGCATTGGGCAAATTGCATATACCTCGCATTGTATTCCGTAATTGGATTTCTTTGTGCGGCCAACAACAACAATTTTGCATGGCTGCCATTGTGCCGAAGTAATTAATTTTACTAAAATTTATAAAGCTAAACAAATGTTGCAATTAGAGGCATTCCAATTGGAAAATACCCTGCAATTTGACTGTGAATTGTTTTAATTGATTTTTCAGCCTGCAAAAGCTGCAAACTTATTGCAGAAAAACATTTGCTTTAAGCTGATTAAACTTGATTAAATTTCGTTGAAGAATTTTTCTTTACTGAATAAACTTATTTTTTATTTAATTCAAATTGAGTTGCAAAAATATTTTATAATAATATATTTTTAAATAAACGTACAAAAAACTCGCAGAAATTGATTTCAATGTAAAGAAAACATTGAAAAAATCGTTTTGATTTTATTCAAATGAAAATGGGAAATTTTAAATATGTATGCAGTTATATATCTTTATGAATGACTGCTATTCGCAAAAAAGTCTGAAGTATTAATTGAATAAATCGTAAATCTCATATGGATATCATTTTTAAAAGTTTGCAGAAAATCGGACTTTACTTAAATTCAGATTATTCTTTATACCCCTGATACCTTTACAGGGTATATATATATGTATATGTATATATTGCTAGCCAGACAGCCTCATCGTATTTCAAAAGCAACTGCTAAGAACAATGCCATTCATTTGTGATTTTCTCAGTTATGCGTGAAATGAAATCCACAGAGATTGCCGAATCTTAAAAACTTTTGTGAGCTGCATTACATACATACATACATACATAGAGGGTATATATGAGCATTTATGAGAGACGTTTGAAATTAATATTGACATGTGCGGAAGATGAAATATTAATTGGCATTTGAGACTGTTTCGCCCAATAGACGCTTGAGATGTTTTCAATTAAATGCATGCAGACAACGAGGCGTACACTTAACTTAATTAATTCATAAACAGTTACTTTGTATGCTGCACTTATTGCAATTATATATGTGTAATCAGAAACTATTTTCAATTTTCGCTCTTCAGTCTAGACTTCGTGCAAAGCTTTCGCCTCATTAGCTCCAACTTGTGAGCTGCAATTGAAGTGAAATCAGGAATTTGTGCAGAGTTTGCCAAGAGATGGCTAAATAAATCTAAGGTGAAAATAGATAATTGTTGATTTAATTGTTGTTGACAACTCATAAATGAATATATTTGTGCATGTAACAATTATCGATGAATTTTGTCTTATTAAATAAATAAATATACGATTTATACAAATACATATATATTTTAAGTACAGCAAATTTGTATTATATCTTTATATAGCTATTAAATAGCCTTATTAATATAGACTTCTTGAAATGAATTCATTCTGAGGTAATGATGCCATTGTGCTTATTAAACTTTATAATACTCCCTGCAGGCTGACTTGAACAAAAGGTCAACCAATTTTATTCGATTTTCAACGGTACAAACAGTGAGTCCCATAATTCCAAGTCCTACATATAAAGGATATCTACATCTCCTTATCTGCAAGTTCTAACTACATATGTACACATTGATCACATTTGACATTTGTAGAACTACATTAATTGAATATTTTTCTTTAAAATGTTATATTTGAGTATTTTATTGCAGTTTCAAGTCCCTTGGCGCAGCAACGCTAACGTTATCATATCAGTCAAATCTTTTGACGCCTTAATAGGATAATCAATTGTAAATATATTTTAATTCATATATTATATACCCATTCCAATTCTATAAACAGATCGGCACTCAGCTAATATACTCGTCTCACTTCATGCGCAAGTATAAACAAGTATTTATCTCAAATCACATCTTTAGCACTGACTTGTGCCTAAATGCTTTTAGGCGTAAGCCGATGCTCAGCCATTTATTGGACCGCTTTAGTCGAAAGCGAGAGATGATGATACTCGGCACTGGTTTCTTAATTGTGGCGGGGTAAGGTGCTAACCACTCGGTCACAAGGTATTTTTTGGTGATAAACAAAACAAATCGTAAAATTCAATTGGATGAACCTGTCTCGCCTCAGAGTGCTCCAAGCTGTTGGCCTTGAAAAGTTCTGCTTTTTCTTTTAGTCTGTCGACATGGAAAGCAGGGGTCAAAGGCCAGCCTTTTTGTTTTCTTCTCTTATTGAATATTATTTACATGCGCACTGCGAATGTGTCAATAGATGGGACTCTAAAGAAAGCAATCAAGTTTATTTTTACAACTTTTTGATGACCTCTGCTTTAATTTCAGACAGACTTTGGGTCAAGGGATTTATTGTCTATGGCATTTTCGTAAATTGAATATATAATATTTCATAATTACTTTAATGTCATAGGACAATTGAGATGCTCAAGGAGATGGCAGTGTAAATCTTGAGTGACATTTTGTTACGTTTAACTTTAGAAGAATTTCTAGCATTTTTGAAGAAAATATTTTATAGAAGACGAAAAATTAAAAATATATACATATTGGATATAAATACAAATTTTTTTTATTTAATTTTTTTTTTATTTGTGTGCATATATTATAAAATAATATAGTGTAATATAAAATAATAAATATTCATTATAGCAAATAAAAATTTGATTACAGTTTGATTTGATATAATAATTGTTTATCCTAAAATTCGTTTTAAATTGCTTTAAATTATACTTATTGTGATAAACCAC